GCACTGAAATTTATACGGCTGATAAGAACACTCCGATCTGTAAAAGTCAATATGTGCTGTAAAAAGGAAAGTGAGTCTTCTCCTGAGGTCATTTGGCTAGATCTCACTATTAAAAAATTGATGCTGGAGCAAATACGTTCTGTCTTTCTGTTGTGACCTTCTCATGTCTATCAGTGGCCATCATCAGAGAGGACAATGGAATAACTGATCAGAGGGATCTATCTGTTCCTTGAGCCACAGCTAGCCCAAAAGTTGGCAGTGATATGTGAGAAAGGCGGAGGGATGTGCATCTAGCACAGCCAACCACCCCTTATTTAAAGTGCTGCTGAGCTATGTTTTTTCATTCCACTCATTTGTTTAATGGGTGAGGATGCTGCTCCGATCCATGCAGAGCAGCAGTACACAATAAAACAGCTGATCAAACTTTGTTTTCAGCATAAATTTGGTTTGAAGAAACCTAAGGTGGTATTTACTCCAGTCAATTTTAGATGTCTAGTTCAGTCTAGTCTCCAGAATAAAATCTTTATTTCCATCTCCTGGAAGGAGGCTACAGCTCCAAGTTCCATCAGATACAGAGACCAGAAGAAACTCAGCTCTAGATTTTAAAGAAAAAGTAGGGCTCTTGTCCTGAGACTGCACCAGACTCCACAAATGAAACAAAATTAATGGCATGACATAACACTGGAGGGTTTGCCTGTTAAAACATGACGGTACCCCAAGTCTCTAGTCTTTCGGAGTTGTGGCTTACATAACAAAATTGCACACAATGTTTTGTACAGCTTCTTAAAAGTCTTTGTAAACAGTAATTTCATTCCCTCCCTGAGCAGCACGAATGTTCCTTGCAGAGGCTAAAGGAGGACAGCACCGAGCCTAGAGACCATGGGAGCTTCTAGGTGGGCTGCCCGTTGGTGCCTGCAGAAGTTTCTCTTGATGCACGTGCTGGCTGTAAGCTCCTGTGCTGAGGCAGCTGCAGAAACAGGGCTTGGAAATGGAAAGAGGAACAGTCTTGAACTTCAGGAGGGCAGTGGGTAAAGGTTCCCAGGAAGTAAAGTGAGGATTTCCTCAAAAAGCCAGGAAGGAGCCTTGCAGGCCTGCACTGCGGTTATTGCTGGAAACCTGCTTGGCGCCAGCTGGGAGCAGAGAGCGAATGAGAAGTGCTGTGGGTGCTTGGTTCCTCAAAGTGCTCGGTGCGTGAGTGAATCTGCACTATCTTTGATGAAGGACGTTTCACATCCCCAAACGAGCTTGTGTTTTACATTAAGTCCCAAATATATTATTTCAAGCAAAACTCAGTGAAATGGAAACAGATGTGTATACATATGTTGTAACAACAGCTTGTATCTTCATACAAAATGCAGCTAGAATTTCCACATGTGCTTCTCCTACTGACGTCTAACGGTTATTTTGCCCCATGCCTCTCATCAGAACGTGATTAATTTAGCTGTAAGATCGGGACACCGTATCTGAAGTCTCTGGGACAGATTACAGGGAAGGCAGAGCAGTGCAGTGGTGATTTATGGTTGTTCAGCTACTGCTTTATTTTCAGTTGATTGGATTATGTCGCCATCTGGATTATGACCATAATGGTGCCTGCGATGGTTATATCTTGGCACTGAATTCAAATAAAGCCCTTTAAAGGAGGAAGCCTTGCACTTTCCAGAAGTGAGTGAACAATTTTGCATGTTTAACTAAAACACGGAATGGTTTACAGAAGTTTCTCAGTAGGTGGTAGTAGGTTGCTAGGTGCAAGGTAGAACGCAAGAGTGTCCAAGTCTAGAGTAGGTTTTAAGAAGAAAACTGTTTAACTTTTCATTGTGAAAACCAAGAAAATGCTGAGATGCCAAAACAGCTGATGCAGAGCAGGAAAAAAAGACTAATTGCCTCATTTGTAGACATTCCTACACATTGTTTCAAGGAGGCAGACAATTGTTTTCTGCAATTTACTGTGGAAAAAGACATATTTAAGTATGGCAAAAAAAAAAGAAAAAAGAAAAAAGCTTATTGCCAACAATCTGTTAACTTCTTCAGTTGAGAAAACAATTACAAATTTTGTGGGAAGTGCCATATTTTCTCACTAACCATTGTTCCAATGTTGCTTCAAACTATAGAAATGCTGATTTTTTTCCCAGTACTTCTTTGTAAGTCCAGCGTTGAAAGCTAAATAATTCATTTCTTTCGTAATTACTTTCAAGACAGCTATGAAACAGTATTAGGGATGTTTAAAAATATAAAATGTACACAATAACAAAATGGCTTAAATTTTGTCAGTATGTCATGTTGGTAGATAACAAGGTAATATTTTCTCTGGGCATACACTCATTTGTCTATAGATGAATGGTAGTGAGAAACGATACCTGCTTTTACCTAATTGCCAAGCTCCTACAACGTGTAACACAGCAAGTTACACGAAAATAGGTCATCGTTTCATCCTGAAAGTTGTGTAATGAGTTATCAATCTCTTCTTTTCATCTGTTAAGTGTTTCAGAGTTACAGGAAGTATTTCATTTTGCCAGCTCTGAATATGTGGAAATGTTAAGGCATGTCCCTGCAAGACTGTTATTTCTAAACCTGTAGCTGAAAGGATCTTAAAATGCTTTCCATCTGCTATAAGTTACTTTACCCACGAAATGAAGATTGCCCCATTGCATTTTTAAGCAGCTAAAGAGCGAGGAGGTGGGAATTTTAAAGAGACTTTCAGCAGTTCATAGAATCATACAACTGTTTGAATTGGAAGCACCCTTAAAGGTCGTCGTCTAGTCCAACTCCCCTGCAATGAACAGGGACCACTTTCTTTCGCAACATGCTAACGCACTGAACCACATATGATACAATTTTATAATTAGAACTGAATGTGTGTGTGGCAGTTTAAAACATAATGCATTATGATACGTGAGAAGCTAAAACAGAAACGATGATAAATTTGCCAGTCATAGATGTAACTCATCTAAAAATGTACCACGATGAAATGGACACAATAGGAAGGGATTGTTAAATATTTTCTCATCAATAGTTGACTTCACATTTTGGTTTTAGAAAATTAGGTTACTTCAACATGAATGAGACAATCTCTCCAAGGTTTTCCCAAGCAAATAAGACACTGAATGTTTTAAACTCGCTAGCAGACTGGGTGCATATCATTGGTATAAGGAATGTTCAGCACAGAGAGAATTGTCGTGCTGTGCATGTCTCATCTGGAATTCAGTGGAAGGACATTACAACACTTCATATCTTCAGATTCTAGTAATCTACATTTCTTAAAGCTTGTGAAATAGTATCATTTCTGCTGCAATGGAAGAAGTGTTTTCATTGTAAACAAAAAATTTTCATTGCAAATATACTTTGACATACTGCAGAAACAGCTAAACATTTATTTGTAAGATTGAACTTCAAACTAATGCAATTGTCCAAGTAGGGAAAGGTTTGCAAACTGATTAAAAGAAACAAACATGCATTGGGATGTGCAACAAATTACCAGAAATCCCATTTTTGATCATGAAGTAATGGACTGAATATTTGAGCACAGCTGACCTTCAAATAAAAGGTATGTGCTATGCTAAGGAAAATTGTGTTCCTCTATAATATTGTTTAAATGGAGCTTAAGAGGGGATTTTATTCATGAGGGTTCTATTGTTATTACTGCACAGCAGAGCTTGAGTTCTGTTTCCTCGTATGGAGGGCTTTATGGCACTCTCTCAGTAAACAGGAGCCAATGGGTGCAAGAGAGTGGAGCTGTTCTTTAAAATGCAGTGGGCAAGGCTTGTCTTGTCTTGACCTGCATGTGGACACTGAGACATGAAGTCCACTGGTTTAAGCCTCTTAAGATTGAAATTTGCAGTGATTCTTGATTACTGCTTGTTGCTAAAAACAAATTCTGCTCAAAGAGAGAAGAGTGACGTTTAAGATGCAGAAGTAAAGAACTGTATTTTTACTTTAGTCAAGCTAACAGAAATAGAAGAGTTTTGTTGTTTGTTTAATTTCTAGCAAATAACTATTAATTTGTTTCTTAACACCCTTCCTTGAATCTTAACAAACCCAAACACTTGCAGTCAACTCCAGGAGCTGACCACAGGCGTGTTCATCATAACTACATATTTGGGAATTTTTCCTTCTTCCTGCATCAAGGAAAGTTACCGTGCAGCGCACAGCAAAGGCCATAGAAACGAAGAGGATGGGATGGAAAGCTTACAGCCCAAACCCTGACATTCCTCAAGCTTGTGTTCAGCCTTTTATCTCTGCCCTGCCCTGTGGGAGAGCAAGGCGCCCGTGTGCAGCGGGATGCTGAGGGAGGGGAGCAGCAGCCCAAAGCTGCGTGGCTCCGGTGTAGAGCAGCTACACAGCAGGGTTACACAGTAACCTTCCTAAAAAGTACAGCGCCTGAAGCCACCGGAATAATGAGTAGAACTGACCATACGCTGGCGAGGGAGGACAAAAGCCTCCAACTCACTTGAAAACCATCATCATGATTTTATTCGCTGCCAGAAACACCGGCATGCCTCTGTCACCATCATACGGTATTTGCATGGTGCAAATCCAAAGGGAGACATGTGGCACAACAATTTTTTCTGGGCTCAAGAAGATGGAGAAATTACTCTGGAATTTCTAATATATATGCGTGTAATTAAAAAGCAAGTGCATCTTCCAGCGAGAGACTTGGGAGGCACCCAACTGCACGGAAAGCCCTGTGAGCTCCTGTCTGTATCCTTAGCGCGCACCGCCGTATCTGAACAGGCGCTTTGACGATTCCTTGAACGGTATCACAGCCCGCTGGTAAGAGACGCGCTTTCACACAGCACCGCGACTGCCCCATACCGACGCTGACGGGACGCGGGCCGGACCGCCGGCCGCTCGCCCCACGCCCCTCAGCGCCTCAGCGGACGCGCGCGGCGCAGATTCGAACGCCAACGGCCGCCCTGCCCCGCCCCGCGCGCCTCCGCCGTGACGCAGGCGGCGGCGCGGTCACGTGTGGCGGAGGCCGGCCCGTCGCACCCGGAGCCGCCGCCATGCCTCTGCCGCCGCCCGGCCGCCCCCGCCTCAGGCTGGCCCCGCTGCTGGCGCTGCTGCTTCTGGCGGGCCCGGCGCGGCCCATCTCCTTCCAGCTGCCCGGCAAGGCGCGGAAGTGCCTGCGGGAGGAGATCCACCGCGACACGCTAGTCACGGGCGAGTACGAGATCGGCGCCCCGCCGGGCTCTTCCAGCGGCCCCTCCGCCAACCTCAAGGTGCGGCTACGGCGGCGCCCGA